AGATGGGAAACCGTAATGGCACAGAGGATGACGATGATGGAAATGACATTGATGATGCCGGAAATGAACAAGGTGGAGGCGTTTGTGAGCGAAAGATCTCGAACAGCGCAGTAGGGTGGGCTAGGTCTCGTGACGTTCCTATTCTCCATTATTTTCTCAGTCTTCTTTTTCTCTCTTTCTCGTTTCTCTTCTCTCTCTCTCTCTTTCGTTTCTTTTCTCTCTTCTCTCTCTCTCTCTCTCTCTCTCTCTCTCTCTCTCTTCACACTCTGTTGTCTTTCTCTATCTTTTTCATATCTTCTCTGCCATTTCATTACCCTAATCTCTCATCTCCTTTTCTCAGCCCTTTCCCCACTCCTCTCTGTTATCTACCTCTTCGATCTCTCCTTCTCCCGCACACCCTCGCCCTCCTCTCTCCGACCCCCCCCCCCCAATGCCCAGTCTTTTGCCCCCCCCCCCCAACCCAGCCGCCCCTCAACCCAAACACTGACCCTTGCTCGCCCTGCACAGCGGCCGAGGCAGCGACGAAATGTGCAACCTGTACATCATGTACTGGGTGGAGGGCGGCCGGGACCCCCTGCGCCACAGGCCCTGCTTCAGCGCCGGCCCGCCCTCTTCTACTGGAGCCGCTACGTCATCGACGGGCGCCCCTTCACCAATATTCCCGAGGACGCGAGCTTCCTGCCGCCCGAAACCGTGGGCGATCCGTCGAAGTAGCGGCGGCGGCGAGAGATAGATGGATGGACGAGCGGATGGAGAATAGCTGGGGTTGGATTGTTCCTGTGTCGAGCCAGTTATCCGTCAGTTCATTGTCTACTTATATTTATTCATTCGTGTATCGTTATTTATTTTCACGGATTTATATTCACTTCGGTTTTATTCGTTCACATCCTGATGCTGATTGTCTGCAGGTCAGTTTTATCACGTGATTCAGACGAAGTAACCGCGGGCATTTTCGAGAAAAAAATATCTAGTAATTTGGGCAATTATAGATATTATCTTTAGCTGTAGTTGATCTCTTATATTTAGGGGTCTAAATTGTAGTATAAACTAACGCCTAAATATCGCATAGAACACTAAGTCATCTTAAATTGTCTCAAGGATGCTGTGACGTCATTTCACCTCGCGGCGTCGCAATTCACGGTTATGGCACCACTGCGGAAGTTCTTGGGTGATGGCAACACTGCT